CCCCGCCAACCCCGCACCCCCGCCAGCGCCGCGCCCGGGGGGCAGCGGGACCCCGACGCAACACTGACCGGCTTCTGACTCTGAGGCGGGGGCCAGATCCACCCCGAGGACCGGTTTCCCAAAGTCGCCAGCCGTCGGGGTTAAGTTCCCACGGGTGGCGGTGCCTGTGCGCCCGGCCTGGTACGGAAGGTCTGGCATCACTGGGACCCGCGCACCCGCGCCGGGGTTTCCGCTGTCGCTGCGCAGCGCGGCCAGCAGGCGGCGCCCGAGCCTCGCCAGCTGGCGGCCCACAGGTGCCCCGGTCCGGGAGAGGCTGGGCCGCCCCTGACCTGCGCGGTGCTGCGTTCGAGCCCAGGCAGCCTCACTGTTACTACGCAGCCCAGCCCGAGCTCGTGTGAATATAATTTTAGTTACCGACCTATGCATCTTGCAGCCCATGGGCCCTGGTTGGTTGGTGCTGGAACTTTGACCCGTTAGCGCAGACCGCCTCTCATTTCTCCCTGACCTGCGGGGCTGCGTCCAGAATGTCCCATCACGGGCTCTCCCCGCCCTGCGGTCCGAGCTGCGATCTCACGCACAAGGTGGGCTGGGGGCTCCTGTGCGGGTTCTGAAGGCCACTCCTCCCTGCTCCCTTTGCCCTGAGACCCTGGGCCTCCCGGGACGCAGTGCCTTTGTGGCTGCGTCTAAGTTGGCGCTCCTGAAGGCAGGGCTGGCCTTCCCACGCGTGGCCCTCCGCCTTTGGCAATTAGCAGGCCCTAATCGTTTGGTAGCAGGTGAATTCATGAAGTTGTGAAGCATTTTGAGCAGTCTCCGGGACATCCCGTGAAGGTCCAGCCCAGGAGAGAGGGAGAGCTCGGCCTGCCCTGTCTCAGGCAGCGCCAGGCTCTCAATTGAACCATCATGTCCTCCCTTCTCACAGGCCAGCGGCAAAACTTGGAGGTCCCACCCTGTGCATCTGTGGAGTGTGAATGAGAGTTTGTGCACCCGTAGCCACACCCATGTCCAGGCCACACTCTGCCCTCTGAGTCTGACCGGTGGGAAGAGGGCAGGGAGTGGAGTGTGACTCTGAGGGCACCGTGGGCCCTGTGTTGAGGGGGCAGGCGGGGCATGCGTCCGTGGTGGGGGACGCCCAGCACCAGCCAGCCTGGTTTGAGTTGTGGAAGGCCTCAGGTGCCGTCAGCACAGCCTCTCCCTCCTGGGGCTCAGCCCTGCACTCCGGAGCCCAGCTGCTCCCAGTGGCCGGGGAGCTGGGGGCACTGGTGTGTCAGGTTGGATTCTGGGCTCAGCACCGAGGCTGAGCTCACATTTCAGCCTCACTCGGAAGCCCTGTCCGTGGTGGGCCCTGGCCTTCCTCCCCGTGACCCGGGCAAGCTCAGTGTCAGGGGTTTCCCCTGTCTCTTTCCACGAGCGGGACTCTGCCACGTCCCAGCCGAGTGGCCTCGCAGGCCTGTGCTCTGTCGGTCCCAGAGGCTGGCCTCCCAGACACCCACGCCGCCCAATAAATGCCATGTGCTCCTTCCCAGGACGCTGGAGACCCCAAAGAAGGGCCCTGCAGCTCCTGAGAACAGTCCACACCCAGAGCCAAGTCCCCTCGGAGGCCTTCCCGGGACCAGGGGTTACCGAGCAGCCGCAGTCCTGGTGAGAGTGGACAGAGGGCGAGGGGTGGAGGGAGCCCTTCCTGGCCCAGGAGGGACTATGGGTTGGGACCACTTCTCTAATCTGAGCTGCCCCCGTGCTGTGTCCAGGGAGAGACCAAGAGCTAAAAGAAGAACTTTAACTTTGCCCTCCCAGTGCCCTAGCACCACAATGCCAGGATCGGACTGTTTTTGTCATTTTAAGCCACACCCTTGCCTCCCCAGGTTCTTATTGCCTTGGAGGTGGACATGGGCAATCTGTATCAACACATGTCCTTGCTTTCCAGCTTCCGGTTGTGTGCCGTCAATGGGGAGCCCCATAGGGTATGGGGGAGCAGGAGGAGGGCACTGTGGGGGGAGGGTTACTGGGCTCTGCTGCGTTCCTCCACTGATGGTCACAGCTCCTGCCCGCCAGCCCCCGCACACAGCCCTCTTGGTCCCTGGGTCTGTGATGGTTCCCTCCTCTCACCTCTCTTAGGCTGGGGAGTGGGGTGGGGAAGGAAGCCCTATAAGGACCCCAAACACTGCACCATCCCTCCTGGTTTCCCAGCACCCTGTGTACACGTTGGTCAATAGTCTGTTTATTAAACCTCCTAGAAAGATCCAACGCGAGTGACCACCTGCTTCCTGCTGGGACTGGCAGAGCCCCCACCTGGGGCCCCGGAGGCGGGGAGCACTTACTGTGAATCCGATGCCCACAGTGGCCGAGAAGGAGCCGGGGATGAACTTGCCCTGGTCGAACTGGACCAGCAGAGATGTCTTGCCCACGCCACTGTCGCCCACCAGGATGGTCTGAAGGGAGCAATGGAGAGGCGGGAGCTGCAGTGTAAAGCAGGCCGAGAAGGAGCCGGGGATGAACTTGCCCTGGTCGAACTGGACCAGCAGAGATGTCTTCCCCACGCCACTGTCGCCCACCAGGATGGTCTGAAGGGAGCAATGGAGAGGCGGGAGCTGCAGTGTAAAGCAGGTTTCTGAGATGGTGTTGTGGCTGGGACAGTGGGCTCCTTGTAAACATACATACACATGTGCTCACATACACACAAACACACACACAAACACACAGATGTACACATAGACAGAGGGCATGCCCATACACACAACATGTACAGAGACACACTCATACACACAGATGCACATTCGCTGAAGGAGGCAGGAAAGCATAGAGGAAATCTTGTTTCACCCCAAGTTAAGACACGTCTGAGGTGACCATGAGAAGGTGCCTCTCAGGCGCCTAAACTCAGGGGCATAACGGCTCGGCCCCCCGCTGGCTCTGCAATCCACCATTGGTGTTGGAGGCCACTTCACACGGGCAATCCCAGCCAAAGGCGGAGCGTGGCAGGGACTCGGAGGCGGGGCTTGTTTCTGGGGCTACAGGACCCCCTCATGGCTGCTTTCAGCTGGGGGACCTCCTCATGGTTTTACAAACCTTCCAGAGACTGCCTGGTGGCCTCTGTCCTTCACTTGGGGTCAGACCATGGTCTGCAGGCTCTCCCTACCTCTCCTGGTTTCTACCTGGTGTTTCCCCTAAAACAGTCCCTGCACAGTGAGTTCCCTTTCCACACCTGCTTCCTGGGAGACCTGGACTAGCACCACGGGCCCTCAGTGTGGGGAAGTCTCAAACAGGAGTGACAGGAAAGATCAGCATGCCAGGCTACATGCCTTGGGAGGAAAGAGTTTGCACTTGGCCCTGGCACAAGGCCGTGGAGAGGACATTTCAAAGAGAAGCAGAGTTTGGGAAAAGAGGGGAAGGACACATTGTACTGGGAGGAAGAAGCGGGGAGAATCAGCGTGGAAGGTCAGGCGCTGAATAATTAATACTAATAGTACAAGAATAAACTCTCGTCCTCACCAGTCTGGCTTAGTGGATGGAGTGTTGGCCTGCAGACCGAAGGGTCCCGGGTTCGATTTTGGTCCAGAGCATGTACCTCAGTTGCAGGCTCCTCCCCGGCCCAGGCTCTGTGCAGGAGGCAACCAATGGATGTTTCTCTCACATCAGTGTTTCTCTCTGTCTTTTTCTCTCTGTTCCATTCTCTCTAAAAATCAGTAGAAAAATATCTTCAGGTGAGGATTTTTTAAAAAAAGAAAGAATAAACTCTGTGTTTCCTGTACTCACAACTGTAAACCTACTTTTGCCCCACTCCGTACACACACCCAAGGGCTGGTACCCAGTAGAATCTCAGTGAGTGAATGAAGAGATGAATACTGTAAATAAGTGGGTAAATGCCTTACTTTCAAAATGGACAAGAGTTACTTTGCAAGGCAAGCATCCAGGGGAAGAATAACAATGCATTAAAAATAGTCCATTCATTTATTGATTTTCCATCAGTTATTTATTGAGTATCTACTATGTGCCCAATGTGGTTTTAGCCACTCAGGATACAGCCCTATAATACAGAGTGGTAGATATGCAATTAACCAGGCTCCGTCACCTATGGACAGATTGGGTTCTGATAGCAGATTAGCTGTAGTTTGCAAGTCTACATACACTGACCAGGAGGAGTGTGGGCTTGCAGTCGCTGTATGCATTTCCACCAAGACAAATACCTTGACAATATTTGTTTATAGGACATCTTTCCCCAAAGTTGACAACAAAAATCTATTGAGCAATGAGTGACATGAACTCATGTAACACATCAGCGACTCTGCTTGATTTCTGAAATAATGCATTTCTGCAGGAAGAGATAAAAGATGTTAAAGTGATTATCTTGGGGTGGTGAGATTAGAAGCAATTAAATCTCTCTCTCTTTCTCTCTCTTTACCTTATCTGTGTTTTCACAATTTTTTTAAAAATCTCTCAATTTGTTTATGTGATGTATCACATTTATTGATTTGTGGATATTGTACCATCCTTGCATCTCTGGGATAAATCCTACTTGGTCATGGTGTATGATCTTTCTGATGTAATGTTGGATCCAATTTGTTAGAATTTTGTTGAGGATTTTGTCATCTATGTTCATGAGTGATATTTTTTCTAGGAATATGTCCACTTCCTCTAGGTTGTCTAGTTTGATGCTTTCTTAGCCTTCAAAGCCTTTGCTTTGGCTTCGGCTTTGGGAGGGGAAGGGGCTTCCTTCTTAGCTTTCGGCGCCATCTTCGTAAAAAACTCGCTAGTTATTAAATAACAGGAAAGGAGCAAAGGGAAGGCCAGACATTATACGCCTGTCATTTGGGCAGCTTCACCAGGAAGCTGCCACTTTGCACTCCCCAGGGAACCACCAGCCCATTCCCTGCAGAACCACTGTGGGGAGGGGTCCAACAAAGGGGAAATAGATGCATGAGCAGTGAAGTTGGGGTGACTAGGGAAGGTACTTGCCTGTCAGTCAAGCCTGGGGAACCATGATTGGCCAGAATGGGTGGAGCCAAGGCAAGCCCAGGGAAATTGGGGAACACATAATCCCCTAAACAAAGGAGTTGGCTGGTGTGACTGTTGCCCGTGTTGCTCTAAGCTTCCCTGCATCCGCCTGTAGGGCCCACGACCACGCGGACCCCACATGCAGGGGACTGATGGGTGCAGGGGGAGCACGAGCTGAGCCGGCCTGACTGAGTCGCACGGTGTGTACACGGCGAGGAAACGCTGGATGCCAGCTGATGGAAGCCACAGCCACGCTTCTTCCTTGTGGGACAAAGGGGGACTCTGGGAGTTAATTCCGTGCGAATAAAAGCCACTCGTTCTCCCATACGAGTCTCAGAAAATGCTTTTTCTTGGGAAATTGCGAAGAGTCCACTCCCACAAGCAACGGGGGGAGACGAGGACCTCTCCCCGCTGGTAACACTGGTCTGTTCCCTTCTGAACCACATCCGAGAAAGAGGTGAGGGCGGGGGTCATCCTTGAGGAGCTGCAAGGGGAAGTCGAAGAGGCAGAGAGCAGCAGGGTGGACCGAGCCAGGGGCAGCTAAAGGGGTACAGAGTGGGGGGTGAGGCAGCTGCTGAAGGGCGGGTCTAGGTTTTGCAGGATCTGCTCTAAATGTTGTTGCCACAAGAAGCTGCGATGAATGGTCCCAAACACAGTGGCACAGAGTGAGTCTGTGAGGGGGCGGTTTGATCTGGGAGGCGCTTCTGGGCTCAGGCGGGCTCCCTTGGGTGTTGAGGGTTGGTTGGCTGTTGGCTGGGGCAGCTTGGCTCTGCTCCACATGTGTCTCCACCCATCCAACGCTGGCCTGTGTGTCGTCCGGCAGAGGCAGGGGTGAATGAGAGCAAGAGGGAGCGCAGGAGGCCTCCGCAGGCTGAGTCTGGAACGGGTGCACCGTTACTTCTGCTGGGTTTCCTTGGGAAAGTAGGGCACAGGTCTGGTCCAGACTCAAGGATGGGGTGGGCGTGAGGGTGGGAGTAGACCCTCCCCTTCAGTGAGAACAACGGTGGAGTAAAGAGCAGAGGGTGGGACCATTTATCACAGGCCTGAAGCTTATACAATGTTGAGGCCGGTTTTTAGGAAAGGGGACCTACATCATGAACAGCATTGGATGCAGGACTTTGAAAGGAGCCTGATCAAGTGAGGGGTGCTGACGGTTAAGCTCCAGCAGCCTCAGGGCACACCTGCCGCCTCCTCACTTTCACAGAGAAGTGAGAAGCTTGAAGGCCCACGGAGCAGAGCTGAGAGGGAGCCACCGTCAGGCACACCCATGCAGCCGTGCTCGCACACATACAGGGGGTGCTTCAGTGCCGGAGGACTCTCACTGGCCCGTTCCATCCCCTCTTTTGTGGGAACCTGTGAGCCTGGGGAGGTAACTGAGGACACAGGGCCCCAGCAGAGCCCGCCTCTCCTGGAGTCCCCAGAGGCACTTAGAGGAGCAGTCTTGCTGTCACTCAGAGACAACCAGATAACAACTCCCGGCTCTGGACTCCAAGGGCAGCCTCCTCAGGTCGGAGGGGGCCGGGTGGGCCCAGGATCAGGGCCGGGCCACAGGCAGAACCCTGAGCAGCTCAGAGGCTGTTCACTCCCTGTTCCCATGCCCAAGAAAGGCCAGGAAAGATTCTGCCCTCTTGGTTTCTCACCTGATTGGGTAGTTGATCTTGTGAAGTGAAAGGCCAGTTCTGGCCACTTCCTGTGTATTCTGTGCAAAGACCCCCCCTGTCTCCTATTCACTCCTGATTTGGTAGGAAGGCCTGAGGTCTCCCCTCGGGACTCAGTGGCTCCTCAAGATGTCACAGGGTGTGTGTGACACGTGGCCAAAGTGGCTCCAGGAGAGAAATATGAGAAAGGCTAACCTTTGAGCCCCACCCTGAGGGCTTGCTGGGATCCCAGACAGGAGCGAAATGGGGGGATGGGCATCAAGTTGTAGGAAAAAGGGAGCAAGACCTGCAGAACCGGTGTTTTTCTCTCCCTACATCAGCAAAATAGGTTTTATAAGGGGGGCGGCGGAAGGAGGAGGGAGGGAGAATAGCCAAGCAGAATGAGCTAGTTTCTTTTTTAAAAAATTATTGATTGATTGCAAGAGAGAGAGAGAGAGAGAGAGAGAGAGAGAGAGAGAAGAAACATGGATTTGTTGTTTATTTATGCATTCCTCTGGTTGCCTATTGTATATGCCCTGACTGGGATCAAACCCGCAACCCAGGCATATCAGAACTACCTTCCAACCAACTGAGCCACCCGGCCAGGGCACAATGAACCAGTTTCTCCATTAAGGAGCCCTTGGCATTACTGACAAGTTTATGGAGGATTCAGGCTGGGGTTGATATCCATGGGCTCTTGCCTGGAGGGCTGGGGCACAGCAGTGAGTTTCCGGTATGTCCTCAGGACAGAGGCCCCTCTTGCCCCTTGCTCCTTACTGAGCTACCAGGTGCCCTGTCTCTGAGCCCCTTTCTTTGCAGGCTGGGTTGTGATACCCGTCGGCCTGATCTTCATGCCAATCTCTGGTCCAGAATCTCTCCCCTGACTTCCTGACTTTGGCCCCAAGTCCTCCTTCACCCGGTTGAACTCCTGACCTTCTGGGCTCCTGAGAATCTGGCTACACCTGAAATTCCAGGTTTAGGATATCGTGTCCAATGCTGGGCTCTCTGTTGGAGCTGGGTCCCCGCCTCCAGTCCAGAGGGTTGAGTAAGAGCCGGCCTGACCTGGTGGGTCTGTGTCTGCGATTTCTCGGAGACGGAGCAGCACTGCGAGTTCTCGTTCAGTTCTCTTCACCAGTGGGAAGTGAGTCTGTAGGTTGCTCTCGCTGACTGGCTCGACCCAGGGGGACCCGTGCGAGGCTGAAAATGTACCTGTTGATGGTCTTCCCTCCCTTCTTCTTGTATCCAGGTGAGTGGGGGCTGGGTCTGAACTCCTGGGAAAAGCTTATGGGCAGGAGGAGGTGGCTGCCAGGGGGAGAAGTGGCTCAGAAGGTGTCCTGCTGAGAAGTGGACCCCATTTCTAAGTAGTTCCCCCAAGCCATGAGCCTGTGCGGTTCACCCACTCAAATCACCACCAGTGTTTCCGTGGCTACAGCTGCCAATGAAGAAATAGGCAGCCTGGCTTTCACACTGAGCCCAGCAGAAGGCACACCTCCTAACCACCCCGGGGGCTGATAATTCAAGATGGACAGCTGGATGGGGCCCATCGGTCACAGCAGAGGAGCCCTGGCTGCTCAGGGGAGCTGGTGATGCTTGCTCCTGGACCTTTGTGACTATGTTAGAAGCAAGGGAGGCTTTGGGAAAGAAGTGAAGGTGGAAGGTGCTTGAGGGAAGGAAAGCAGGGAGGTTGCCAGACAAGAGGGGGAGATGATTCTAGGTCTTTGAGGTAGAAGGAAGTAGCAGAAGTTGCAGAGGGAGGGACTGGAAGAATCAAGAGGAGGTAGGTTGGTAGGGTGAAGAGGAAAGGAGCGGCTGAGACATGGACAGAGGGTTGAAGTGACCTTGAAGTTGATGGATACCACGGGTTGGATTAAGAATTAAGGGGATTGTCTTGAAATGTTGGAAGGCCTCAGGGCTTGGCCTTTGGGCTTCCTCTCTCTCTGGATTCACTCCCTTGTTGGTCTCATCTCCTCTCTTGCTGTAAATGCTATCTGTGTACAGATGACTTCAAATTCTGTATTCCTAGTCCCTGGAGATCTTCCTAGATTCCAGAATATTCTACCCAATTGCCCATTGAACAAGTCCACTCAGATGTTGACATTTCAAATGTGACCTGACCACTCCTTCCCCCTTCAACTCCTTTCTGTCCCACCTTTGCGTTGGGAACCTCCATCCTTCTAGGTGCTCAGGCAAAACCTGGGCATCCATCTCCTCTCATATCCCATAATGACCCTTAGACAATGTAAGCCACATCCTGTCTCTCCTCTAGTCAAAACCTTCCAATGACCTCCCATCCCACTTGGAGTAAAAATCCAGCTCCTTACTGAGCTACCAGGTGCTCACCATCTGAGTTCTTCCATGTCATTGCTGTGGGCTCTTCTCTATTCTTCCTCCCCTGGTTCAACCACTTCATGCACACTGGCCTCTTAGATGTTCTTTGAACATGCTAGGCACACTCCTGCCTCAGGGCCTTTGCACTGCTATTCTCTTGAGCCACAGGTTCCAGTCCCTCACATCTTTGCTTCTCATGGAGGCCTTCATTGATGATCTTCATTACAACAATAATTACTTTGCATTATTTTTCTCAACTGTCTGTCTCCTCCCTTCCCCTCACCTTGATTGAATATAAGCTTCAGGAGGGCAGGGATATTTGCACCAACAAACATACCAGGTACGGATTAGAAAAACAGTTTAATGAGTGAATGTATCTAATGGCAATGAAGCTATATGACTGCTGAAACCACCCCACCACGGACCAAATCTTTCTAATTTCATAGAAATGAACAATTGAGACTCTTAACATTCATTAGAGAGGACATACATTGCTCATCGGTATGTAAAATGGTGCAGCCACTTTGGAAAACAATTTGACATTCTTGAAAATGCTAACCATACGGTTACCATGTGACCCAGCAATTCCACTCCTGGGTAAATACCCGAGAATTGAAAATATATGTCCATGTAAAAAGTTGGATGCAAATGTTCATGGCAACATTATCTCTAATTGCCTTAAAGTGGGAACAACTCACATGTGCATCAACTGATGCATAAATAAATATAAATGGTCTGTCCATACGATGGATTGGCATAAGGATAGACAAAGGGATCAATGGGTCAGCAAGGAAAATCTATAAAGTAAGTCACATATTTACTTTTTGACAAAGAAACCAAAGCAATTCAATGGAGAACATGGGATCAGTGTGATATGGATTCCATGGTTGGCATCACTGCTGTGGTCAATGTCAAAGGCCCTGCAGCGGGTGCTTGGCTGTGGAACCACTAGACCCACTAGGAGCAGCCTCTGCACAGCCAGGGGAGCGGGTGCAGCAGCTGGACCTCCTGAGGCCATCAGCACAGGTCAGGAGCAACCACTCCAGTGGCAATGGGTCCTCTGGTACTTCCTCCCCCTGAGACCAGTTTAACACTGAGATGCTGCAAAAGGACAAAGATTTATGGGCCACAGGGAGCGGGAGGGAGTGAGTTATAGGAGATAATTATTGCTCAGAGTCAGTGCTTTTGTTTCCTTGAGCTCTGCAGTGGTGCTGTTAGGTGGTTTTGGAGGTGGCTCTGAGCCAGTGGAACTTGGAAGGACAAAGGTCTGTGCTGTGGAAGGTGAATTCCTTCCGTGACTCTGTCCCACTCCTCAGGCCTTGGACTTGTCGGAGCTGCTCACAGTGCAGGCGGCTGCTGCCTGAGCCTCGAAGTGGGGGTGGGGGAGGTGACAGATATATGGATTTGTGTTTTCCAGACTCATCGTATATCATCTCGGGACCAAAAGAAGTGAGAGGCGGGGAGTGGCACTCATTGTCTGTGCAGTGTCACTATGACCCAGGGTGGGAGACCTACAGGAAGTGGTGGTGCCGTGGGCATGACTGGCTTAGCTGTGAGATCCTCATTATAACCAATGGATCAGAGATGGTGAAGAAGAACCGTGTGTCCATCAGGGACCATCCGAGAAGCCTCATGTTCACTGTGATCATGAAGGAGCTCAGGCGGGAAGACACAGACACTTACTGGTGTGGGATTGAGAGAACTGGATCTGACCATGGGGTCCCTGTTAAAGTGACCATTGACCCAGGTAAGAGGACGTGCATGTGTGGCTGTGTCCTTTCAGGGCCTGCTCTGCCCTGGTCCCTGAGGTCCCTGTCCAGTGACTGAACTCACTCAGATGAACTGCCTCAGAGGGGGTTGGTCCTGAGATCTCATGAAACCCTGGCTGCTCACTTAGGTTGGGAGGTACAGGGCTTCTCTTAGATGCTCTTGGGGCTCCCAGGACCTCCCCAGGATGGATCAAGCCTTTCTGGGCACATTTTTTTCTCTGCACAGCTCAGTACCTGAGACTATTGCCATAGAGACCACGGTGATGGCCCCAGTTTTAGCTCATGGGCTGAGGGAAGCCTCTTCTGTGGGAACCAATTCCTGCCAAGGCTTCCCTGGCACCTCTGGTGCCCTGGTGTCCCTGCTCTTCCTGGAGGTTGGGCCCGGGGCTCATAGCCGTGTCCCACCCCTTGTTCCATATCTGGTCTCAGGGGGAAGGAGCCCAGCACAGTTGGGGCTGTGGGTCACTCCCGAGGTCTGGAAAGGCTTCCACAGCCAAACAGTTGTATTCTGGGCACCTGACATCCCACCATGAGCGATGGATGCATCTGGGCTTAGAGACGTTCTCTTCCTAAGACCTTCTGGAATAGACACTCCTGGGAGCATTTGGGTGTGAACAGGTGTGTCTGTTGGGCCCTGCTGCTGCCAACCCTCGGACAGCCAGCACCAGCTCACAGGGCACTCATGGCCGGGAGGGGACCCACTCATAGCGTCCCCACCACACCGGAACCCGGGAGGCCTGAGGTAGCTGCCAAGTGCAGCACGTTCTTTGTCTCATGGGATCTTGAGAATGACCCTGAGCAGGAACTACCCCATCACAGAAACTTAAAACTTGTCCCGGGCGGGGCCCCTGCCATAAACAGTGGGAGTGTTTAAAGTTTAGCTGAACTCCAGCTGCCATTACCCTGAGGCAATCCTGGGCCCCCTGAGCCTTCCAGGGCCTGTGTGATGACCCCTTGGACCTGTGCCCAGCTCTCCTACAGACAAAGAGATGAGTGGTCCTGTTGTAGGCCTCTTCCTGTGGCCCTGCCCCAGGCTCTGCAGGCCAGGGCAGCCCACATCCTCCCTGGCTCTGAGCTACGTGCAGGGCTGCAGGTGGGACAGCAGGCAGAGTGGAATGTAATCTGTTCTGTATGACAAGCACCAACTACAGTGTTGACCCCCACCTCTGCCATCACCTCCACTGCCAACGCGTTCACAGTACCAGACACCCCAGAAGACACCACAGGCTTCCTGAATGTGACCAACCACCACTCCGATGGCAGGTAGGTCAGCTTGGATGCTGCTGTTCCCTGTGGCCCACTGGTCCCAAACTTCTCCAGTGCGGGGGCCCTTTGTAGTCCCACGTCCCAGCCAGGATGCCAGGGGCCCTTCCTCTTGCTCTCAGGCCGCACAGTGTCCTTGGTGAGCCCCCACCCCCAACCTGCGTCCCGGAGCTCAGTGCAGTTCGGAGGTTTGTTGGTTCATTCACGCATCCATCCCACTTCCATTGAGTTAAATTCTGCTTGGCCGGCACTGTATTGAGCTCGGGTCACACAGATATAGAGCGTCCCATGCGGAGCTCAGGGTGCGGGAGATGGAGGAGCCGGCAGTCAGGGCAGAGGGCATGGCCAGGGTGTGTGGGCACAGGGTCATGGGGCCACAGTGCCCTCCGGTCCAAATTCTGGGAGAACAGGAAGGGCCTGGGGAAGCCCTGTTTCTGTTATGAATTCCTTGTTACTGTTATGGCAACAGCGGGGATCCTGACAATTCCTGGAGTCTCCTGACCACCTGGCAGCTCACAGAGGACTTTCTTGCCTGGTTTCCCCTTTGTGTGGGTCTGTGTCCCAATCCCTTCTTATTATAAGAACCCCAGTCATTTCCTTTCCAGAAGAGCAAGCGAGGGCGAGAAGAGTAAGAAATGAGGAGAGCGGGTGGGGGTGGGGGGAGACAGTGGAAGCCAATGCCAGCCTTGGCCATTTTCTTGGAATGAAATGGGGCTGTTGTGGGATTCTGAGCAGAGGAGGGAGATGCTGAACTTTGGTTGAAAGCATTCCCTGGCTGCTGTGCTGATGATGAACTGTAGTGTGTGTGTGTGTGTGTGTGTGTGTGTGTGTTGGAGGATGTATGAGTTTCCTGTGGCTGCCATAACAAAACAGCACAAACTGGGTGGCTTAACACAAGACAAGTTTATTCTCCCACAGCCCAGGAGGTCCATGATCTGAAATCAAGGTTTCGAAAGGGTTGGCTTCTTGGGGCTCAAGTGTGTGGGCCGATGGCAATGACCTTAGGCCCATTTCGGGTGCCCAGGCACTTCAATGAAATTCCTATGGTTGCCAAGGAGGCACTGAGCTGACGTGGGGGTAGAACCTGTCCCATGCCCCTGTCTTGGCTGTTGGTGGCCGGCAATCCTTGGCATTCCTTGGCCTGTGGCTGAATCACTCCAGTCTCTGCTCCTGTTGTCACATGGTCTCCATGACCGTGTCCCTGTTGCCCCAATTTTCCTTTTATAAGGACACTAGTCATTGGGTTAGGCCCACCCTAATGCAGTACGACATCATCTTGATCACATCTGCAAAGATCCTATTTCCAAATAGGTCATCTTCCCAGGTTCTGAGTGACATGAATTGTGGCTGGGGGACACTATGCAGCCACGTCAGAGAACCAGTGAGGAAGCAGGGAGACCTTGCCGGTGCCTGTTGTCATACTTCTCTTAGGCTTCTAGACCCGTTGAAACTCCCTTGTGGAGCCCTCCCCTCCTTTAAAAACAACAGCCATTTTTGAGGGCACCCAGGAGTGGGGTTCCCAGGCTGGAAACTGCGAGCCAAAAGGTGTGTGACTGTCTGCTACCGGGTGGATGGGATAAGGCCCAGAGGCAGGAGGTGAGCCAGGGCTCACGGGTGTCTTCTGTTGTTTCCAGTGGCGACTCCCTGCAGCTCTGCATCTCCCTGCCCCTCTTCATTGTTCTGTTGCTGCTTGTCTTGGCGGCAGTCTCGCTGTTGGTGTGGAGAGTGGTGAGGCGACAGAAGGAAGGTGAGAGGACATGGCTGGGCTGGGTGGGCTGGGCTGGGCTGGGTGGAAGTGTGTGGGCCGATGTCCACAGGGCTGGCTCCTTGGAGCTCAAGTGTGTGGACCAATGGCAATGACCTCATGCCCATGTCAGGTGCGCAGACACTTCAGTGAAATTCCTATGGTTGCCAAGGAGGTACTGAGCTGACATCGGGTAGGGAGAAACACACACACGCACACACACACACACACACACACACACGTGAATGTGCACACACCTGCACGAGCACATGCACATGTATGCAACACAACACATTGCACATGCACACACAGATAACACATGCATGTGTAAACACAGATTACATGTATGCACACACATGCGTGCATGCACATGGGTCATGCACAGAGTCCTCTGGGTTTTATTATAAAGGTTGGTTGAGATTCCTACTTTGGCTCCTCCTCCACCCCAGCCATTCACTCATAAGCCAGCCTCATCCAACGGGATCTGGCCCCAAACAAACCCTCCTCCTGTCTGGCTCCAGTTCCACATCCTCACGTAATGGCACCGCCCCTTCTCAGAGCACACTGGGACCTGCGCTCTCTCTCATGGGGTCCTCTCTGGCCCGCTCCCTCCCCCTGAGCCTGGGGGATCTTATAATCTGGGAGGGGAAGCCTGGCTCTGTTCATCACGTTTTCTCCCAAGTGCATTGTCCGTGGCTCATGTTGTAGGTACTTTCTGTGCTCCTCAGCATCTAGACTTTTGAAACTAAAAATCTGGCGGGAAAACGTCTTGTTTCTTTGTTGTCTCTAAAGCTGGGAGGCCAGGGGAGGACCAAAGGACAGACAGAAATGGGAACCAGCGAACATCTGAAAGCTGGTCCATCTGCTGCTGACCCAGCTTGAGCACCCCTGGGTCTCCACAGATGACTTTTACTGATGGGCACCCGTGTGTCAGGCACAGCCAGGCACCGGCCATGCGAGGAAGGGCAGGCTCAGCCGCCCAGCAGCCCATAGCCCACCTGACATCTAACCAGAATTCAGTGGGACCATCTGATGTATGAGACGGACAGACATCCAGTGCAGTGAGAGCTGGGGAGAGGGGATCAGACAGCCGGGCGGCTGGGTAGGTCGGTGTGAGTGACGGGTGAGGTAGAGCTCCCGGTAGCATTACAGGCAGAGCTTCTGGTTGACATTACAGGGTGGCCCTGGGGTGGCAGTGAGGGAAACAATCCCAGGACACTGATGGCTGGCTGGGCCCCCCAGTCAGTTGATGTCAAAGTTCTGTGATGAGGGGAACTGAGCTGAGATCCCCTTACTTTTCAAGTCGAGAAATGGAAGCCCAGAGAGGTGAATGCCCCATGTCACAGACTGTGTCATCTGAAGAGTCAGAATTAGAACCAGGTCTCCCTTCTGGAGCCTCATTCACCTCTTTTCTTTTCTTTTTCTCTCCCCCAGACCTGGGACCCGCCCAGGCTCAGGATGAGCTTTCTAATTCTGGTTGTTTTTGTCTTTTAGCTGCTGGGATACCCCCAGAGCAGGTAAGAGAGCCCCTGAGGTCAGACTGGCTATAGCAGACAACACTTTCCCCCGCTTTTCTGATTTTCCATCTCTCAGGGTCCCTGAGGTTCAAATGTATCAGACAGACCATGTGCCCAAGTGTCCAGATCCTCCCAGCTGCAGGGCCTGGATGACCGGAGGGGGTGCTGGAAACAGCCAGGAGGGAGGGCAGGTGTGGGAGACTGAGAGGTGGGAGCTGCATAGGAAGCTGGGAGGGGGGACCAGGGCAGCAGAGGGGCTGGCGTCCTTCTGCGGAAGAGGAACCTGGGCTTCCTCTCCCAGGTGCTCCAGCCCCCGGAGGACAATGTCTGCTATGCCAACCTGAACCTGAAGCAGACAGAAGCCTCGCCCAGCTCCCCCAGGAAGAGGGCCCCCACGCAGCCCTCCTCCTCTGCCCAGGACGACCAGGGGGAAGTGGAGTACATCACCATGGTGGGTACTTGCTGGGGCTGCTGTGGGCCTTGGATTCATCGTCCCTGCTTTGAGGATGGACTTTCTCCCGCCCCTGTGGGCACAGAGGAGGGTGGGCCGGGCACAATCACAGCCGTTGAAAGACTTTCTTGCTGAGCTCCCCAAGGTGCTTGGCCTTCAGAAGTGTGTCCATATCAGGTCTCCACATGGGGGACTGGGAGCCGGTCAGTGGAGACCCAGCCAGGCCCAGTGACCTGGGAGCACACGCAGAACGTGCTGCCCTGGCACGGAGTTGAGGGAGAGTCACCTGCTGTGGCTGGAGCTCAGGGTGCCCTGCAGGGAGGAGGGAGGCGGGGCTGGAGGGCCTGGGAGTGGCCTTCAGAGTTCCTGAGGGGCATGACCCCCAGCCTCAGGGAGGCCTCCTCATCCATGAGCACCCCTGCCCCTCAGCTTCCCTGACCTGCGTGCATCTCTGTTACAGGCCCCCTTTCTGGGTTCGGATGTTTTTTATGAGGCTCTGTCTCTGGACACCTTGGATCAGGACTCAATCTACAGCAACACACAGGACCTCATCACCCCCCTCCCAAGCAGGAGCCAGGAGGAGCTCATCCAGTTCAGTGCCATCAGGAAGCCTTAGCTGTGCAAGGACCCCCTGCCCAACCCCACATGAGGCCTGTCAGCACATTCCTGCCTCGTCTGCTTTCTGCTCCCAGTCCTCTCACCACTCCCAGCCCGGAACTGGGCTCCAAGCCTGGTCTCAGGGGGATTCTGGGAGATAGGAAGGGGTCTCCCACTTCCCTTCCTCTCCCTCATAGTTTGGGAAGAGGCTGGGCTATGGGCTGGGCAGCTGAGGGAGGAATAATGATGATCATGACAATAATAGTAATGAACCTTTATTGCTGCCATGTGTGGTGGGTTGAATATGATTCTATGTGTGCTAATCTCCAGAACCCGTGAGCATTAGCTTCTATGGCCATAGGGGCTGGGCAGATGTAATTCAATGAAGGGTTTGGAGATGCGGAGATTATTCTGCATTATCCCGGCAGGCCCTAAATAGAACCACAAGGGTCCTCCTTATAAGAGGGAGGCAAGAAGGTCACAAGAGAAGGGGCTGTGATGACGGAAGCAGAGGTTGGAATGATGCGGCAAGGAGCCAAGGAAAGCTGTAGCCTCTAGAAGCTGGAAAAGTCAAGGACTGGATGCGTCAGAAGGAACCAGCCTCGCGGAGACCCTGACTCCAGAACTGCAGGAGAATAAATGAACGTTGTTTACATGAAGCCACTAATTGATGCGGCAGCATTGGAAACGAACGCCCTATTGTGGCAGGTGCTCTTTTTCCTAAGTGCTCTCCCTACAGTAACTCATCCAATCTTCACAGCAGCCCTCCTGGGCGCCTCCATTACTGCCCCATTTTACAGATGAAGAGTCAAGGTCCAGAGAGGTTCAGTGACTTACCGAGTTTTTTCACCAGCAGACGGATGAGTTGGAATTTGAACTCGGGCAGAGTCTGGGCCACCACCCTGCACTGTGGGTCTAGGGAGGATAGTGTGTGTGTGTGTGTGTGTGTGTGTGTGTGTGTGTGTGTGTCTGTGTGTGTGCGCGCAGGCACCTGCATTCACACAGGGATAGTTAGTGAACATTTACAAACTCCGGACTGACCACGCTTCCTCTAGAGTCTGGGTAACCCTCTCTCCAGAGCATGTCCCGAATCCTGTCCAGTCCCATTGTCTCCATGGTGACCAGCCTCGTCCAAGCTGCCATCCAGTCCCCTGGCTGGAGTCCCTCTTTCCATCTGTGTCCATTCTCCCAGCAGCTAGACCTGCTCACTCCCTGCTTGTCACCCTCGGGCGGCTTCTTCCGCAGCCTATGGGGACACCAGGACCCCATGGTCCCTGCCTGCGCCTATGACCCTGTCTCTGCCAACCTTCCTGCCCCTCGCTGTCCTTCACTCCAGGGGCCTTCCTGCTGTCCTTACAGGATAAGGCTTGTTCCCGTCTCAGGGCGTTGGCAGGTGCCTGCCCTTCTTTCTGGAACCCTCTTCTTGCAGCTGGATGACTAGTTAGCGACAGCTCATCATCCCATCTCAGCTCAAATGTCCCCTCTCCGAGCGGCCTTCCCTGACCACCCTAGCAGGCGAAGTCCCCACGACGCCTCCGATTTTTCTCTGTCACGTTGCCCTGCTTCACTTCCTTTAAAGTAGTGGTTCTCCACCTTCTGGCCCTTTAAATACAGTTCCTCATGTAGGGACCCAACCATAACATTATTTTCGTTGCTACTTCCTAACTGTCATGTTGCTACTGTTATGAATTGTCATGTAAATATCTGATATGCAGGATGGTCTTAGGCGACCCCTGTGAAAGGGTCGTTCCACTGCCAAAGGGGTCGCGACCCACAGGTTGAGAACCGCTGGTTTAGAGCATGCACTGCTTCATGAATTTTATTTGTTTGTTTGTTGATCCTCACCCGAGGACATATATTTTTCCATTGATTTTCTTAGAGGTAGCAGAAGAGAGCGGGAGACACACACACAGAGAAATGCAAGTAAGAGGAGGGAGCAGACGTTGGCATCTCAGGGAATAGGCACCACTTGCTAGGGGGACTCTGGAGCTCCACTTCTTTCAACAATTACACCATTATCTCCCCTGGGAGGATGGACCCCGTTGGGAAGGGCATTGCCCGCGTGCTCTGCACCTCCATCCTCCCCTGTGGGCTCTGCGAGGCTTCTCTGGCCTGAGCGGGAGGTGGAGACAGGAGCAGGCCGGGGTAAATTTAGAGCCACTTCAAGTGTCCGTTCAACACTTCCCCCGTGGGGTGTTCACCTCTGGCTGTTTACCTCCAGCCAAGCTGGGTTTCCTGCCCTGAACATGGAGGAAGTCAGAGCCCTTCCAGAGCAGCTCACAGGGAGGGATGGAGACATTCCACAGGGAGGGATGGAAACATTCTACAGGGAGGGATGGAGACATTGCACAGGGAGGGATGGAGACATTCCACAGGGAGGGATGGAAACATTCTACAGGGAGGGATGGAGACATTGCACAGGGAGGGATGGAGACATTCCACAGGGAGGGATGGAAACATTCTACAGGGAGGGATGGAGACATTGCACAGGGAGGGATGGAGACATTCCACAGGGAGGGATGGAGACATTCCACAGGGAGGGATGGAGACATTCTACAGGGAGGGAAGCCGCTCACTCTTCTGGGTTTCCACAATATAGCGATTCTCTTCTGGCAAGTGTCTAGACTATTTACGTAACGTCTGGCTGCTCTGTCAAAACATGAAATGATTCTTCCTCATCCATAATGGTAACCTCTGGGGAGGAAGAAGGGGGGAGTGTGTGGGACGGGGTATGTGGGGGGAGTTCTGGGAAGCTGGAAGGTTCCATCTCTTTATCTTGGTAGTGGTTGCCCAGAGGTGCTCACTTTGTGATAATCCATCAGGGTGCACCTGTATGATCTGAGCTTTTCTTGTGGTTCCTAACTTCAATAAAAAGTTTATTTAAAAACCGTTCTTCTTAGCAACTAAGGTTGGAGGGGAGCCTACATCCCATGGTCACTGCATCCTAATGAGACGGCAGGAATTACTATACAGCAAACTTAAAAAATAAGACAAATACGTTGATACCCTGCCCCTTTACAAATGGATTTTTTAAGTGGATGACAATAAAAAAGTCATGCACAATAATGAAATAATATCAGTCAGAGGTAGTCCGCGTTATCATAGAAATAAAAACTTTCTACCCACATCTGTCACTCTGTTGAGACACCAGAAGGTTTAAAGCCAGCTCCTTCTCTCAAGAGGCTCACATCCAAGCTCAAAACACCAGGCATTTATTAGCAGTTTGTTGATCTTTCCCAATTTGTTGAGCAGTAAGCCCAAAGGAAGTGAAAGTTCTCATGGGCCACGTCCCGCATTTCATGTGTGAGCAACTGAGGTGGGAACGACCTTACTTGATCAACAACTTGAAAACTGTGACCTCCGAGTCTTAACCTTTCAAAAGGAATATTTCTATCTTTATAAGGTGGCTTAAGCTTAGACCCATGTATCGAGTCACCAGGTTGCTTTTGTAATTGATTGGTAATTACGTTCCTTTGCTTGCATAGACTGTCTATGAAGGCTAGACTCACAACTTCAAAAAACACAGATTTGATAACAGTTTACTTCAAACTGTAATGGCTTTAAAACTTTCAGACGGGGCAGTTGCGATAAATCCTTCTCTTCTATACCCCACGGGTGCAGAGGCCTGGAGGGAGAAGTCGCATGGACTGTTCACGTCTACAGACCTGCTCCCTCCGATGACCGATCTTCCTTTATTTGTGTCAGAAGTAGCCAGCATGACACAGGGCTGTGTGTCCGAAACTGCAATGTGTATATTTGTTTCCTAAGGATCCTGTTAAATTACAGATGCAGACGCAGCAGATCCGGGAGGAGACTGAGGTTTCACCTATCTAACAAGCTCTCAGGCGATGCTAATGCTGCTGCCCTATGGACCACACTTGTACAGAGAAAACATGTGAGACCCAGAGTCAAAATTCCTGGCTTTTAGTATCAGCTCCGCCACTTTCTACCTTGTTTCCTTGGATAGTCACTTTGGCTCTCTGGACTTCAGTTTCCTCAAACATAAACTGTGCAATAAGGGGAGAGGATGAGTCGTATTATTTCAGAGCTTGCGTCAATGGAATTTTCAGAAGGGTATTTTGACCTTTAAAAATCTCCAAGTACAGGGCAATGCACAGCTTCTCCGGGGGTCGACAAATAAAGTGATATCAGCAAAGTAGGAACTATAAGGACGGAATGAGGAGTCATGAGGACCCACAGTGACTTCTTGCAGCAAATAGAAGGCTCTGATTCTTTCAAAGCAATGGATGTTGGATGAAAAGTGTTGCCTAGAGCGAGGTTGCCACTTTCCCCAACAATCGCTTCAAGAGTCGACCTACATTACTGAGGACTGAGCTGCATAAGGAACTCGAATGAGGGAAGCCACGGATGAACAAGAACTTTGAAATAAGCAGACAGTTTCAGGAAGATATGACTAAGTTAAGGCTGGAGGGCAGGTTTCTGGAGTCACGAGGGAGTCTGGTTTGAAAACAACAGGTTTTTTTTTTTTCCTGATGCAGATCACTTCTGTGTCTAATTTTAACCAAGTTGGAAGTGAAAGTTTTCATGGGCCACATGACAGGTCTTTGACCACAACCGTAGGACCTAATGGGGCCTGGGTGGGAAGACAAACAGCTTCCCCAGCAGTTACACGGGGACGCTCAGATGGGTGAGAGGCAGGAGGGGGTGAATGAGAAAGGGACGCCGGTGATTTAAATGAATGAACGAAGCTCCTGGCGATCGGAACCTCTGGCGGCGGCCCCTCCCCCAGAGCACACGCATCTCTGTTTTGAGCAGTAAACAGGATCGTTCAGCACTGGACAGCTCCCGGAGCACCGAGGAGGGTACCTGGAGCTCAGGTCTGAGACCTTGGCCTTTCAGTACAGCGATCCCGCCCTTGTGTGCCCGGGACCAGCGTCCTGACACCTGGTTGGTCTGGCTTGTGACTCCAGGGTGCGGGGAGGGACGCCAGCTCTCAGTCCAGCCAGCGGCCCGTGCGGATCTCATTCAGCTATGGGATCTCCGGAGGCTCAGCGACCCGGCTGCATTCGCAGGGCATTGGGTTTTGGAGCTCACTGTTCCTGATTCTTCCCAGTGAATGAGCGTCCCCGTCACACCACGCAGCTCAGCTCTCTCCAGGGTTTGCAGAGGCGAAGTCCTGAGACGCTGGCGCCGCTTCTCTGTTCTCCCTGGACATTTGGGACCACTTCCCTAATCTCAGCGGCCCGTGCTGTGTCCAGGGAGAGCCCAAGGGCTAAAAACAGAACTTTCACCTTTGACCTACCAGTGCCCTAGGACCGCAATGCTAGGATCAGACTGTTTTTATTTCTTTTCAATATTTTTAATTGATTTCAGAGAGGAAGGTAAAGGGAGAGATAGACATATCAATGATGAGAGAGAATCATTGATCAGCTGCCTTCTGCACACCCCCTATTGGGGATAGAGCCAGCTACCTGGCATGTGCCCTGACGGGGAATCAAACCATGACCTCCTGGTTCTTAGGTCAACACTCAACCATTGAGCCACACCGGCCGGGCATGATTACACTGTTTTTAAACTTTCAAGCCATGACTTTGCCTTCTTGTTGCATTGGGAGGTGCCCCTGAACAATCTGTATTGATATATTCCCTTGCTTTCCAGCTTCTGGTTGTGTGCCATCAATGGGGAGCCCCATAGGATATGGGGGGAGCAGGAGGAGGGCAGTGTGGGGAAGGGTTACTAGGCTCTGCTGCGTTCCTCCACTGATGGTCACAGCTCCTGCCCGCCAGCCCCCTGCACACAGCCCTCTTGGTCCCTGGGTCTGTGATGGTTCCCTCCTCTCACCTCTCTTAGGCTGGGGAGTGGGGTGGGGAAGGAAGCCCTATAAGGACCCCAAACACTGCACCATCCCTCCTGGTTTCCCAGCACCCTGTGTACATGTTGGTCAATAGTCTGTTTATTAAACCTCCTAGAAAGATCCAACGCGAGTGACCACCGGCTTCCTGCTGGGCCCCTGGCAGAGCCCACCTGGGGCCCCGGAGGCGGGGAGCACTTACTGTGAATCCGATGCCCACAGTGGCCGAGAAGGAGCCGGGGATGAACTTGCCCTGGTCTTGCCCACGCCACTGTCGCCCACCAGGATGGTCTGAAGGGAGCAATGGAGAGGCGGGAGGCCCAGGGTGGAGTGGGGTTTTGGGATGGGGGGTAGGTTTCTGAGATGGTGTTGTGGCTGGGACAGTGGGTTCGTTATAAACACACATACACATATGTGCGCACACACACAAACACACACACAGACACATTCACACAGATGCACACATGGACAGAGGGTAGGCACATACACAGACACACTCTTACACACAGGTACAGTTTTGCTGTCACTCAGAGACAACCAGATAATTCCCTGCTCTGGACTCCAAGGGCAGCCTCCTCGGGTTGGTGGGGGCAGGAGGGCCCAGGATCAGGGCCAGGCCACAGGCAGAACCCTGAGCAGCTCAGAGTCTGTTCACTCCCTGCTCCCATGCCCAAGAAAGACCAGGAAAGCTCCTGCCCCCTTGGTTTCTCAGGGCCGTCATTTTCCCTAGAAACTAAACACTCGCCCCATTTTCAGAGACCCTGGGCAGAGGATGTGCTTGTGTGGAAGTGGGTCACAAGGCTGAGGAGGGTCTCACCCCGATTGGGTAGTTGATCTTGTGAAGCGAAAGGCCAGTTCTGGCCACTTCCTGGAAACACCCTGGATCGTCAGCTGCTGTGTTTTTCTGTGCAAACAACCCCCCTGCTCTCTTATTTGTTCCTGATTAGGGTAGGAAGGCCCAAGCCTCCTCTTGGGACTCAGTGGCTCCTCAAGATGTCACAGGGTGTGTGTGACACATGACCAAAGTGGCTCCGGGAGTGAAATATGAGAAAGACTCTATCTTTTCATAACCTCTGAGCCCCACCTGAGGGCTTGCTGGGATCCCAAAGGGGGTGGAAGTTGGGGTATGGGCACCGAGTTGCAGGAAAAAGGGAGCAAGACCTGCAGAACATGTCTTAAAGGAAGCAACAGTGATAGGTTTTATAAAGGGGTGGGGGTGTGAGGAGCGAAGGAGGATGGCCAAGAGCAATGAGCTGGTTTGTTTTTCTTTTAAAAAAAATTATTTGTTGACAGAGAGAGAGAGAGAGAGAGAGAGAGAGAGAGAGAACATCAATTTGTTGTTTCGTTTATTTATGCATTCCAGGGCTGGGTCACAGCAGTGAGTTTCCGGTATGCCCTCAGGACAGAGGCCCCTCTTGCCCCTTGCTCCTTACTGAGCTACCAGGTGCCCTGTCTCTGAGCCCCTTTCTTTGCAGGCTGGGTTGTGATACCCCCTCGGCCTGCTCTTCATGCCAATCTCTGGTCCAGAATCTCTCCCCTGACTTCCTGACTTTGGCCCCAAGTCCTCCTTCACCCGGTTGAACTCCTGACCTTCTGGGCTCCTGAGAATCTGGCTACACCTGAAATTCCAGGTTTAGGATATCGTGTCCCATGCTGGGCTCTCTGTTGGGAGCTGGTTTCCCACCTCCAGTTGAGAGGATTGTGCAAGAGCCGGCCTGATCATGTGTCTGCAATTTCTAGAAGACAGAGCAGCACCGCAAGTTCTCACTTTAGAGAACCATCGTGGCTCTGGGCAGGGAGGTATTACTTAAAATCTTATTCACAATAACTATGAAATCTTGCCCATTACATCTACTTCCTCTTTTAGTTCTATTCACGCATGGGAAGTGGCTGGGGGAGGAAGTGTGAGTGACTGTGAGTGAAAGCAGAAGGGCTGGAGGATGAAGGAGTCGAGCCTGTAAGTTCGGTCTTGCTGAGGGGCTCGGTCCAGGGGGACCCGTGCGAGGCTGAAAATGTACCTGCTGCTGCTCTTTCCCCTCCTCTTCTGGGTTCCAGGTAAGTGGGATCTGGGTCTGAACTTGTGGGAAAAGCTTATGGGCAGGAGGAGGTGGCTGCCAGGGGGAGAAGTGGCCCAGAAGGTGTCCTGCTGAGAAGTGGACCCCATTTCTAAGTAGTTCCCCCAAGCCATGAGCCTGTGCGGTTCACCCACTCAAATCACCACCAGTGTTTCCGTGGCTACAGCTGCCAACGAAGAAATAGGCAGCCTGGCTTTCACACTGAGCCCAGCAGAAGGCACACCTCCTAACCACCCCGGGGGCTGATAATTCAAGATGGACAGCTGGATGGGGCCCATCGGTCACAGCAGAGGAGCCCTGGCTGCTCAGGGGAGCTGGTGATACTTGCTCCTGGACCTTTGTGACTGTGTTAGAAGTAAGGGAGGCTTTGGGAAAGAAGTGAAGGTGGAAGGTGCTTGAGGGAAGGAAAGCAGGGAGGTTGCCAGACAAGGAGGGGGAGATGATTCTAGGTCTTTGAGGTAGAAGGAAGTAGCAGAAGTTGCAGAGGGAGGGACTGGAGAAATCAAGAGGAGGTAGCTTGCTAGGGTGAAGAGGAAAGGAGGGGCTGAACATGGACAGAGGGTTGAAGTGAACTTGAAGTTGCTGGATGCCACCGGTTTGATTAAAAATTAAGGGGATTGTCTTGAAAATGTTGGAAGGCTTCAGGGCCTGGCCTTTGGGCTTCTTCTCACTCTGGAGTCACTCCCTTGTTGATCTCATCTCCTCTCTTCCTGTAAATGCTATCTCTATACAGATGACTCCCAATTCTGTATCCCTAGTCCCTGGAGATCTTCCTAGATTCCAGAATCTTCTACCCAATTGCGCACTGAATAACTCCAGTCATATATTGACATTTCAAATGTGACCTAACTACTCCTTCCCCCTTGAATTCCTTTCTGTCCCACCTCTGCGTTGGGAACCTCCATCCTTCTAGATGCTCAGGCAAAACCTGGGGACATCCATCTCCTCTCACATCCCATAATGACCCTTTGACAACGTTAGCCACATCCTGTCTCTCCTCTAGTCAAAACCTTCCAATGACCTCCCATCCCACTTGGAGTAAAAATCCAGCTCCTTACTGAGCTACCAGGTGCTCACCATCTGGGTTCTTCCATGTCATTGCTGTGGGCTCTTCTCTATTCTTCCTCCCCTGGTTCAACCCACTTCATGCTACACTGGCCTCTTAGATGTTCTTTGAACATGTTAGGCACACTCCTGCCTCAGGGCCTTTGCACTGCTATTCTCTTGAGCCATAGGTTCCAGTCCTCACATTTTTCAAGTCTTTGCTTCTCACAGAGGCCTCCATTGATGACCCTAATTACAATAACAATTTTTTTTGCGTCATTTTTTCCCCACTGTCTGTCTCCTCCCTGTCCCCACCTTGATTGACTATAAGCTTCAGGAGGGCAGGGATTTTTTGCACCTACAACCATACCAGGTACAGATTAGACAAATAGTATGAGTTAAATGAGTGAATGTATCTAATGGAGAGGAAGCCATATGATTGTTGTAACTACCCCACCCCCAGACCAAATTTTTCTACTTTCATAGAACTGAACTATTGAGACTCTTAACATTCATTAGAGAGGACATACATTGCTCATGGGTATGTAAAATGGTGCAGCCACTTTGGAAAACAATTTGACATGCTTGAAAATGCTAAACATACGGTTACCATGTGACCCAGCAATTCCACTCCTGGGTAAATACCCGAGAATTGGAAATATATGTCCATGTAAAAAGTTGGATGCAAATGTTCATGGCAACATTATCTCTAATTGCCTTAAAGTGGGAACAACTCACATGTGCCTCAACTGATGTATAAATAAATATAAGTGGTCTGTCCAGATGATGGAATTTTTTAAGGCACTCTTCTTTCTTTTTTTAAAAAAATATACTTTTTATTGATTTTGGAGGGGAAGGGAGAGGGAGCGAGAAATAGAAACATCAATGATGAGAGAGAAACATTGATCACCTGCCTCCTACGCGCCCCCTAATGGAAATCAAGCTCAAAACGGGGCATGTGCCATGATCTGGAGCGTCATAGGTTGACACTCAACCATTGAACCACACTGGGCAGGCAAAGACTCATTAAGAAAAATGAAAATACTACATATCGAAACTTAGGCAACATAGCCAAAGCTGTATTCAAAAGTAAATTCTTAGGAAAAAAACCTAACAGTTGCCCGAAGAGTCCCACAGAGTTACCCTGTGAACCAGCAATTCCATTCCTAGGTATATAGTTGAGAGAATTGAAAACACATATCCATATGCACCCCTATGTTCATAGCAGCACAATTCACCATAGCTAAGATCTGGAAACAGCCTAAGTGCCCATCTGTAGATGAATGGATTAGAAAACTGTGGTACATCTACACGATGGAATACTATGCTGCTCTAAAAAGGAAGGAAC